GTCAACGCAGCCAGTGACCTTGGCTCAGCGCATCCTTCCTGTATGTACCCCCAGCCCCGCAGAGGCACGGGCACCAGGAAAATGCCAGCAGCATTCACTCCCACCCAGCCTTGCAGCCGCCCCGCAGCTCCACGGGACATCGTGCCTCAGGTCCAGGCACTGCCCAGCACCTCCTGACACCCAGCGAGGTGTTGTCAGTGCCACCAGCCACCTCTACCCAGCGTATCCAGAACACCATGCTGCAGTTTAGCCTCCCCAGCTCCGCGCCAGCAGTGCCCAGCGGGTCCTGCCTGGCACATCCAGCATGGGGACAACCCACTGTAAGGACACCCTGGTTGGGGACAGCCTGCTTAGCAGCCAGGTGCCCATACAGGACCCTCCCGAGGTGACAGAGCAGTGGCTGAGCGAGGGCAGTGCCCGTTGCAGGGTGAGAGCGAGGCGAGATCCACGGCTCCGCCAACAGCTCGGCTTGGGGAGAGGGAGAGGACAGAAAGGGAATGGGAAGACAGAGGAGGAGGAGAAAAGGAGAAGAAACAGCAAGAGGACAAAGAGCTTCCCTGGAGTCACCGCAAGCAGCGAGCACGAGGGCGAACCAGCCGGTGGCACATGCCCAGCTGTGCCCGGCCACCCTGCAGCCCGTACCAGGCTCGTGGGCCCATGTACCCCAGGTCCAGGCACAGCCCAGCATCTCTCAAAACTCACAACCAGGTTTTGCCAGTGCCTCCAGCCTCCTCCAGAACCTGTTTGCCCAAGAGGCCATGGTTCAGCCCAACCTCCCCAGCTCAGTGCCAGCCATGCCGAGTCCTGCCCGGGACGTGCAGTCCCGTACACAGCTCCTGCTGCTGCCCTGGCACACACGGCCCCCTTACCTGGGCTTTTTAACAAGCTCAGCCTCACGATCCTCCGCTGAGCGCAGCAGGCGAGAAAGGAGGAGACAGAGTCAGTCTGCGGCAACCGAGGCCGTGGGACAGCAGGAAGGGAAGGGACGGGATGGAAAGGAAAGGGAAGGGAAGGGAAAGGAAAGGAAAGGAAAGGAAAGGAAAGGAAAGGATCTGAATACAGAAACAGACCAGAAGGGGTATCCCGGCCCCAGCCCCGTGGCACCACCACGAGCCCACGCACAGCCCCGGGCAGCTCCCACCGGCTCGACCTCCCTGCAGGGTTGACTTGGGGCCAAAAATCAAGCACCTGCTGCCACATCACCCCACAACCTCGAACGGGTTCTGGCTACCCCAGCAAAGTTCAGGCGGCATCAGGCCCGGTGGGAACTCACTGCCGTCTGTGCCCGTCAGCTGGGCCAGTCTGCGGAAGGAGTGGGACTGGGAGGTCCCGGTGCGGGGCTGCCATTCCTCAGCATCCTCTACCAGCTGCAACTTCCCAGGGTCGCACACAGGGGTGCTGGGGGGCTCCAGCAGCTGTGGGGGCTGCCTGCGAGTGACAGAGGGCAGGCGCTTAGCTGGCACCATGCATGGACCCTACCGGCACTGCAGCACGCGCAGTGCTCCCAAAGGTGCCCTCACACACATCAACCC